TGCTAAACCCAGCCCAACCCAACGCCCCGTTCTGTGGCACTCTATGCGGCTCTACTCCAAATCCACCCGCAGCCACGTGGGACTTGGTACCAACACCCAACACCAAAAGCAAGACAAACACCATCCTCCGCCGACAAACCTCCCGCCCTTCTCCTCAATTCTAGGAGCTGAATAGGTATCCCGTCTACATTCACAAACTTCTATACAAACAAGTCAGCAGTATTTCACAGCTGCGTATCCCTCCACGCCCCCGTGAAAACTTCCAGTCGTGCTCCCGAAGACAATTAGATCATACCGAGTAGTTGCCACGGATTGTTTTTTTCCGAGCAACGAAAAGGTGTTTCCAACAATAAAAGTAAATACCAAAAGCAAGCACGTTCGGCTTCCGCGCTGCACGGCATCACAAAAGCCCGTCTGTGGCGTGTTACGGGCTGTATGCGGGTGGCGCCGTGGTAGGTGTGGTCTGAGCACACAGTCGGGTTAGTCTAGAACCCTAGAGTACCACCGAGGATTGTGGCGCCGAAAAGGGTACCTGTAACATGCATGACTCCTGTCCCCGAGTTGGATTTATATTCGAAAAGGAAGCCCACGTGAGGCCAGGAGTGGATAATTGGTATGCAGGAGTAAAGCTCATCAAGTTTCATATTGGCGTGGGTTGTACCGTGACTGTTGAGGATGAGAAAAAACGCCAATACCCATGCCACATGCTACCCTACCCCTATCTTATCCACTTTTGCGCCGAAGGAGAAATAAAACATGTCTAAAGATATCGTACGACGTGGACGAGGAAGAAGAAGTGAATCCAGAAACTAGTCTACAGGTACGAGCTATCGCCTCGTCGCCTCAATAGCCTTGTCCAGCCCGACAATACGCAGACTCTTGCCTCGGCCGAGTTTGCCTCGCATCAGGCCAGCAGCGGGGATGAGCGCGTCGTCCCAGTGTCTGAAAACAGCCTTCATGTCGCGGGGCACGCCCTCCATGACTACGGTAGTGACGGGCATAAACGGCCGGTCTTCCTCCGAGACGGCGAGGATGCCGTATTCCTGCGCGAAGAGGAGGGCGGTGGAGAACGCTTGGCTTTGCGTGCGAGATAAAGCGCCGATGATGCTGGAGATGGCGTTAGCTACAGTGTTTCATTTGAGGGCTATATGGGGTCGACTTACATGTACATCTCGAAGAAAGCATCCAGGACATAGATGCTTTCTGGCTCCAGATCCCTTTGGCAGAATGGCATGATTTCCTTGACGCTCATTGTGGCGACTCCCGGTGTTACTGGCGTCTGTGGCCTCTGTTCAGTGTTTGTTCCGCTCCAGCTGGGCCGGCGAAGCGTCGCGAAGAAGGAGCTGCTCACCTGGAGTGCCTGTCCCCACCCGGACGATGCTGAGTTTGGCTCGATCTTGTACAGTCGCGCGCGATACTTCTCGGACGTGGCTTTGTAGCGCCAGTGATCAGCTGAGCGTGGAATGGCTGGGCCCTTGCCTTTGTTTGGGAGGACTGGTGGCGGGAAGGCTTCGATGAAGTCTTGTGGTTCATTGCCCTCGTCGATCTCGGTAATGTCACCCGTGGGATTGAGATCCATACTCATCAAGCGGGCTCCTGCTAGCTCTTCGGGACAGCAGCCGCGACCTTTCCAGACATAGAATTTGCCGTTTGGTGCGGAGATAAGGTAGGGGAACGCCGAGCACAAGCTCTTGAGGGACAGATCGACCTCGTCAAAGGCAAGGTGGCCAATGTGTCGGCGGCCACAAAGCATAAACTCTCTGGCAGCTGGCTTCGCTCCACGTCTGGTGATGACAATACCGCCCAATGCTTCGAAGAAGTTGGGAGGCTCGTGCCCTTGGCGAACAGTAACGAGCCTGCCTTGGTTCTGTTTGGCATGGTTCTTCGCAAAAAGTTGCACATCCTCGATGATGGGTTCTGCAACGCCATTGCCTGCCCAGAGGTACACATCTGTGTGCTTAGCGCCCTTGGAATCACTGAAGATGTGAGTGCAAAGATACAGTGAATCCTGGAAGAGGATGTGCTCCTCTTGCTCCGGAATAGGAGTAAGCTTGCCATCGCCTGTCACTTCATGGATCTGCTTACGCAGCGTCCGGATTTTGCCAGAGGGTCCGAAGTCAATCGGGGGTGTCTTGAGGATCCGTACGGTGTCGATGGCCTCGGGAAGTCGGCCTTCTGTGATGGGCGCATCGTCAAAGAATTCTGCAAACAAGCCATCGTGCTTTGCGGGCGGAGTAGTGCCTTTGAATGGCTCGGACTGAGGTCTGCCTCCACTCAACGGAGGCGAGGTAGGATAGTCGTTCGATGGAGTCTGCGGGGTAGACTCCCGTGATCTTGCTGGCAGATAGCTTCCCAGTGTGCTCAGGCTGAATCCTAGACCAGTGGGTTTGGGCTTTGCAGGCGTAGGCTTTGAAGCTACAGGAGACATGGGGTTGGATTTAGGAGAAGCAATTGACGCTGGCTTAGAGGCGGAAGAAGCCTCGGGTGATCGAACAAGTCCGGCATCCTGCATTGCTGCCTGTTCATCGGCTTTCGTTGGTAGCTTGATTGGAGTCTTCGTCCGCGATGCCAATGGCGAGGAGGATGCTGACTGTCTGCCCCACAAAGCTGTCGCACTCTTGACAGAGGCGAAGGACGACCTCTCTGGTGATGTTTCATTTTTCACTGGGGTGACTTCAACGTTGGGGGGATCGATCTCTCGTAGTGCCTCCGGCTTGGGACTCTGCACCGCTGGCTTGCTTGCATTTGATGGAGTGCTCGGGAATGTCCGCGAAAATCTCGATTGGAATGGAGCTGGCGAAGACGCTGCCGAACCTGGTTTTGGTGACTGCGTTGGTGGGGGTGCAGTAGACTTTTGAGGTGTAGCATGAGAACCGGATACTCTTCTCTCCGAATCCAGCGATGCGGGCTTTTTGGGTACACCTGGTGACGCAATCCGTGGCGAGGAGATGGAATCCGGGCGAGGAGACTTCATTGTGGCATCCTGAGATCCAGACACTCTGTCCATTTCCAAAGAGGCTGGCTTCTTGGAAGGCTCCGGCGTGGATTTGCCATATTGTCCCGACGAAATTCGAGCGGACTTTGCCGGCGTGGCCGGCTTTCCGGTGATAGATTGTCTACTGGGCGTCTTCGTCAACGGTAGCTCCTCTGAAGGTCCGTTAGTCTTGGAAAGTACGGAGCTAGGAAGAACATGCTCAGGCTTCACCAAAGGAACAACAGCAACATCTGGAGTCACCTTCTGTGGGGTCATCTTCTCGGGCTCGGAATTGGCCTGCTTGGCAGCTGGCCGCCGCTTCGGTCCCTTCGCCCGGCCTTTGGTCATGTGTTGTAGCTCCGGAGCTGGTCCGGGTTTTCTCTCCTCCTGGACAGGCCTGGACGGTGACTCAGTCCCATCAGCACTTGATGTAGACTTGTTAGTCGTCAGTGAAGGCGGTCCACGAGCAAGCATACCAGCCAGCGCTGGGTTGAAACGATCAGCTAGTTTGCTAGCCTTGGCTGGTTCCTTGGGTGTGAACAGAGTAGGCTGTACAGGTTTATCATCGATGGCAGGCTTTATCACACGAAGGCTCTTTTTCCTCGCGAGGGCCTCCGGTGTAGCTTGCTTCGGCTTCTCTAGAGGGGCAGGCTTTGACACACTGTCCGCGCGACCCAGAGTTCCCCTCCTGGCGATGGCTTCGGGCGGTGGGGCGGCTTCAGCTGGCGCGTCTGCTTTCTTGAGAACCGAGCCCTCCTCCTGTGCTTTCAATTGCATTGTTGACTTCTTTTTGATCAAGCTCTCTCTGAATTCATCGCGGCGCACAGTAGGTTTTGGGCCACCGGTCTGGTTGAGAGCATTCTTGCCGGTAAGTATGTTGGTTTTGAGCACATCGGGTGCGACGTAGTTCTTGGTCTCTGCCTTCCTCAACTTGCCGAACACGTTTTGGAACTCCGTCACTTCGCCCTTCTTGGATCCATCGTCGATCGGCTGTCGGGGCTTCAAACCAGCTCGGAAATCCTTCTTGGGAGGGGTGCCCGGCCTTGATTTTGGCAATGGCTGTGGAGGTCCGGATGCTTTGAGAGGTTTGACCTCAGCGGACTCAATTGCAGCTTTCACCGGCGCCTCTTCGACTCTAGAGGAATCTCTGGTGGAAGCTACAGACTCTTCTTTTGCCGGCGCCTCCACTTCTGCGGAATTCGCCTCTTCCGTCTTTCTGAAAATTGGCCTTGGTGAAGGCTCCGATAGCTTTTCGACATCTACAGTTGGCTCTTTCTTTGGAGTGTCGAACTTGAGAGGGCTCGAAGGCCGCCCAATCTTGTCCAATTCAGATGATGACTCCTTTTTGGGGATCTCGAACTTGCGAAGGCTTGCAGGCTTCAGCTGAACGTCCTTGATGGGCGATGTCCGACCAGAGCCAAACGGCTCGGCAGAGTTGGTTCTGCCGAGATCGACGCTGCTGCGCTGCTGCTTGATGCGGTTGATTTCGGCCATCCATGCAGGTTGTGCTGGAGGTGGCTGCTTGAGTTTAGGCGACTCGGGCTTGTTCAGCGCGCTCTCGAGCCAGCTCGACTTGGTAGGACTCCATCGCTTTGAAGGACTGGGAGGAGATGTTTCGTCGTGAGACTGATCTTTGTCGTGGAACGATGAGGCGACCGACTTGCTCCTGTTATGACGAGGGAGTGCAGGCTTGACGAATTCTTCCCTGGGCGCTCGCTCGGTCTCTGTGCTCTTTGTAACTGTGGCGTTGCTATGGCTCGAGGACGGACGAGAAGAGGGTTCGGTCGAGTTTTCTCTGCTCATTGTAGAAGTGTCTTTCGGTTCTTGGTAGGGTACCATAGCCCGACATGGCACTGCCACGGTTGCTTAGGGTGGAGCCCTGGCGGGTGAGGGTGGGTGGTGTTTGCGTGCTCCATCTCTTGGAGACGCTGTCGCTGCGCTTCAGCATGGCGCTCTGGACGAACCCTCCCATGCCTTTGGTGGGCGATGCGGACCGCTCACGCTCGGGCGATATTCTCCCTTGCGTGGGGGACATGGCGAGCGCACGCGACTCTCTGTCTCCCGCGTCTCCCGCAGAGCCCTGCTCAGAGGGCGGGGCAAACTTTTGCGAGTCGAGCATCGGGAGCGGCGACCGTGTCTTTGCGGCGGGGTCTGCGTCTCCCAAGGATATCGATGTGCTCGTCGAGAAGCGGTTGTTCAGCATAGCGCTCCCCCGCACAGAGCCACCACGCGACCCAGGCGAGCTGGAGCGCATGCTCTCTGGGGGCGGGCTGTGGATCTCAGGCTCGACGGTCGACTCGCGCGACATGCCGGGCAGCTGTCGCCGTCCCGATATCGAGCCGGTGTCGGAGGCAGCCTCGTCCTGACTGCGCCTGTACGCCGCCGAGCCAACGCCTCTGTCTGGTGTCTGTTTGAACCACGAGGGGTCCTTGGCGCCCAACGAGGCAGCTATGGATGTCCGCGAGGTGCTGGGCTCTGGCGATGAGGGCTCAGATGTTTTGGTAGGGGAGGTGTTGCCCGACCGCTCTGGCGACCGCGAAGCCATTGACAGCGGGCGCCGCAAGCTGCCGGACTGCGGCCGCTGTTTCCACGAGAGGGTGCCGGAGCGTCCCAATGCTGCGGCGCTGGCCACAGGCTTCTTGGGCTCCGTGTCTTCGAGCGTCATGGGTGCGGGCTCGCTGGTCAGGCGCTGCAGCGACTCTTCGTGGGCGTTGTCTTGGCGGGGCGGGCTCATGACGGGCGTGGGCGTGCTGTGGGCTTTTTCCTGTACGTCTCGAGGGGCGCCCGCGTTGGAACGAAGCGATTGCGGTGTGGTGGGCTTGTCGGGCGAAATGGAGCGGGCTCGTTCTAGTAGTAATTCCATCAGCGTCTGTCCGGGCTGCCTCTGCCGAGCATCACCAAGCACGTCAACACACCTGCTCTGCGCGCTAATCGCTCGCTGCGGCCTTGAATCAGGTCCTCTTCCAGCTTCTTCACGCGTTCGGCGTCTTGCTGGTCACGCTCTGCGCCAAGCTCG